TTTGATCTCACAGTGTATGATCTAAATTTGGGACATTTTATTTAGTTACGCTTTTTTGTACAGTGTGTCAGCAGCGCACCATCACTTGTTTGTTTGTTTATTTGTCATTTCTGTGGGAACACATTTTGATGTTAGCAGTGGCTATCTCATTTCAGTTTATTTAATTTTCACTTTGTTATTTGTAGGATAGTGCAGGGGTCCACATACTTTTTTATTTGTTAAAGATATAAATATTCATAACTCAGGCTATTGGATTTTCTTACACTATTGCCAGGGACATTCAACAGTCTGAATCAAATAATAACTTGAACTTAGGGGAAAACGTACAAAAATCAGAACTATCAATGCAGGCCTGGACTGACTACAACCCGGCAGTGCTACATTTGGGCTAGGAACACTCCTTAGCACAGGGTCCCTACACTTTCTATTCTTTAGTGCAGGGGTGTCAAGCTCAATTTTACCACAGGCCGCATCAGCATAATGGTTGCCCTCAAAAGGCTGGTTGTATCTGTAAGACTATAAAAAGTGTATCTGCCCTTTATCATATGAAATAATTGCCTGTGCAGTCAAATAATACTGGTTTTAGTAATAACTTAAAGTTCTAAATGCATTCTATGCATGAAGGCAAAAAAACCTTCTGTGTGTAGCAGCCCCCCCAGCCATCCCTAACATTCACCTGAGCCCCATCCTGATCCAGCGATTTTCACAAGAGCCTCGTTTTTCCTGGGGACTCCCACTCTTGATTGGCTGAGGCAACAGCAGGAGCCATTGGCTCCCGCTGCTGTTAAATTACAGTCAATGAGCCAGTCAGGAGAGGAAGGGGATGGGGCTGAACCGCGACTCTGTGTGTGAATGGACATGTAGAACCATGGTTCGGGAGAGCCGATAGGGGACCCGGGAAGAGGAAGATTTGGGTTGCTCTGTGCAAAATCACTGCACAGAGCAGGTAAGTATGACATGTTTGTTTGTTTGTTTGTTTGTTTGTTTAAACAAGATTTTAGTATGACTTTAACATTGAAGAGCTGTGAAGGTAAGGTGCAGACCAGCACGAAGCCCACTCACACTCCTGTAGCCGATGATGCAAGTCTGAAAAGCAGGTTTGCACACCCCTGGTATCCACAAGAAGCTTCATTGAAAACTGCTCAGACTGAACATGGTTCTGCCATAGTGTTCTGTCTGATTAATGTCTAATAAAGTTTCTTGTGGATGATGCCAACATTGTCCGACCCTCCTTTTCATCTCGCATAGTATTGTATTATTATCATAATAATTATAAGAATAACGAGTTCCCCACTCTCCCTTACATCACAGTGCACCCCCTTACCCTGTGCTGCAGCTGGAAAGAAGCTGGGGGCAGAGCTGGAAAGAAAAAGGTGCAGGGTCTGCAGGAGGACCAGAGGAGGGCTGGAGTCAGCTGAATGCTGAGAACAGGGGAAGTGGAAATGAAGGGGTGCTGCGGCTGTACAAAGAGGTGCAGGACCCGTAGGGGGAGTTTTGTCCTCCACTGCGCTGAGATGGGAGGGGCAGAGACGAGCTACTCTGCAGCTGCATGTAGAAGCACAGGATCTATAGGAGGGGGTTCTGTCCTCTCTGCTGACAAGTGCTGAGACACAGAGGGGGAGGAGATGAGGGGGATGCCACAGCTGCAGGAAAGGTGAGAAGGCCACATAAAATGGCCTGGAGGGCAGTGCTCAGCCTGCAGGCCTTATGTTTGGCGTATGTACTTTAGTATATTCAATTATCATTCTTTCCTCCTTCTCTCCTGTTATTGCTGCTAGTCATGCATACTGCAGCTCACATCAGCCCAATAAAAGCAGCAATATTTTGGGGAAAATTTGAGCATTGGTTTTTGTTTACATCCTGATATCAATATCAACAATATTAGGAAGGAAAATGGAAAAAAGTCTAAAGTAATTTGAAAAAAGTGGCATATTTAAATACAATGTACGTGCAGATAGGAAGCATCTATTTTATTTTTTTTTTCCATTTTCTGGGACGAGGTTTCACTTTTAAAAAACAATATTTTCTGCTACGCCTGAGAATAAATAACCTTAGAACAAATGATAACCTTCTGTCCGTTTCAGACCAACAGCATTCTATAAAAGTCTGCTGTGCTCAGTGACGCCAGCTGTCTTTACCCTAGTAATCTCTAGGTGGGACTTTTCCTCTAACTTCTGCATAATGTTCAGCTTACGTAAGTGTACTGATTACCGATTATCTAGAGAACAGCTTTGCTGAATTTATGGGACTCTTCATGCATTTTTCATTATATGGAATGGCCTTCATGTAGATACAGGAATCTCACCCCATGCACTGTCTGGACATTATTTGCTGGGTGACAGTAGATAACAGAGATTACAAATAATCAAGTTCTAGGTTGTGACAAGACAAAAACAAAGAAGGTGGCCTTTTCAGAGAACTGTCCAATTTTAAAAACTTCAAATGATACTATAGGTATTTTTTTTAAAATAAAAAACATGTAAAACTTACCTGCTCTATGCAATGGTTTTGCACAGAGTAGCCCCGATCCTCTGCTTGCTATTGGTGCAATTATGCATGCTTGCTCCCAGGCCCTGCTTTGTGTCCATCGACACGCAGAGCATGGCTCAGCCCCACCTCCTCTCCCTCCTCACTGGCTGTGATTTGCTCCCACTGCTCTCTCTAAGCCTTAGAGGAGGGAGAGAGCTGGGAGAACAGCTGCTCTCTCGTGTACATTGCTGGACCAAGATTGGTTTGTGATAACTAGAAGGGGGATGAGCATTGAAGGTTTTTTACTTTTGTGCATAGGATGCCACTTTAGGGAAGGCCATAATTGCCCTAGGGTTCCTATGGACCAAAAGGAGGGGTGGCTTCCCCCGTCTAAGGGGGTACATTAGAGTTTAGTAGGCTATGGCAATGTCATATCAGCTCCATATATACAATAATAGAGAATTATGGAGACCTCAGGAGTAGTGAGCTTGATGACTCAGCAGCAATATCTTTCTATAGAATAGGTAATGCTGCAACTGTTTTTCTTTCTCAGGAAAAAATATAGCGAACTTTGTTACATTGATGCCACATTGACAACATAAATAAATTACTATGAAGATGTCTATGTATACAGGGTCTATCCTTGCAATTCTGCTCACTCTGTTAGATAGAAGTATGAGTGATGTAAGTGGTGATTTTTCAACTCATTTTTAAATTTGTTGGGCTGAAAACATATTTGCATAATTTTTCAACAGTCATTTATAAAATGTTACATAGGAATATTTCATACTTACTATTTGAACCCAGCAGGTGGTGCACTCAGCACTGGCTTCCACCACTTCTGCTGGATCATTTACTGCTAAACTGTGAATATTCTAAGTAATTTGATTGCTTGCCATTCATTGATTTACTAACCAAACCATCTCTTCATTTTGCAAGGGAAGTTGCGCTTTGCAAGGGAATTTTCCCCAGAGCTTAGTGAATGTGATGATGTTTCACTTTGCAAAGAATACCCAATCACATGCAAAGAAAAAAAAAAGCTGCATTTTTGCTTGGGGACCTTTGAATTAAAATTTGAAGGAGCCGGGCAGGTGCAGACATCACTCATAATAAGAAAACAATTCCTGCATCTGATTGGATAAAGGCACTGTTAGACCAAAAATGTTCTGCCTGGCTCATTCAATCGCTCAGAGGTCATGTGGAGTGGCCATGCACTAACAGTGTTTTGTTCAATTCAATAGGAACCAGTCAAATTTTGCTCAGTGTATGACCAGCTTAAATATGAACACTGGCCAAGATCTGCTCACAAAATCAGGGCAGTAAAATAAATATTTCAAGTAAACAATAGTTTGCACTGATGTCTTAAAGGATATCTATGCTCAAGAGTAGGAAAATACTTGTTAAAACATGCATGAATTCCAGTGTCCCTACAATTTCCTGTGCACTGAACTTACAAACAGTGTTATTAGCTTCCTCAGGTATCTTTTGACAACTACAGATCACCTCCTCTCTATGTAATGGAAATGAGGAGAGAGAAGGTGTAGTCCGAAACCTGTCCTAAGGTACCAATGCTGCTGCTTCCTATATTTGCTGCAGCGAGTGAGAGTGGTCACCCTTGGATGGGATGTGCATCACTACAAGGATCACCAGGTGAAAATAAAGAGTAAACATGTGAGAAAAAAAATGCAGTGACCGCATATATCAGGCATGTCCAAAGTCCGGCCCGCGGGCCAATTGCGGCCCGCGTTCCGGACTGAAACGGCCCCACAGGTGAGCTACCCAAATATATAACTTACGGCCCCCGGTAGTGATTCCCTGAAAGCTACTGAGGACTCCAGCAATCTCTTGACATCATCAGCTGGCGCAGGAAGGAGAGCCCAAATCTCGCGACGTCCGAGATCTCGTGAGATTTGGGCTTTCCTTCTCTGTGTGCCGGCTGATGACGTCAATTCCCGCTCGACAGATCCCTGGAGTCCTCAGTGGCGTTCGCAGAATCACTAGTGGAGGGCCGTAAGTTATATATTGGGCAGCTCATCTGTGGGGTCCGGAACGTGGGCCGAGGGATCCCAGGTGGTGCGCAGGGAATTACTACTGGGGCTACCATTTACCATTATTTACTATGTCTGCAGTCTCTGGTCATCTCCTGTACTGTGTCCGCAGTCTCTGGTCATCTCCTGTACTGTGTCCACAGTCTCTGGTCATCTCCTGTACTGTCCGCAGTCTCTGGTCATCCCCTGTACTATGTCCGCAGTCTCTGGTCATCTCCTGTACTATGTCCGCAGTCTCCGGTCATATCCTGTACAGTGTCCGCAGTCTCCGGTCATCTCCTGTACTGTGTCCGCAGTCTCCGGTCATCTTCTGTACTGTGTCCGCAGTCTCCAGTCATCTCCTGTACTGTGTCCGCAGTCTCCGGTCATCTCCTGTACTGTGTCCGCAGTCTCCGGTCATCTCCTGTACTGTGTCCGCAGTCTCTGGTCATCCCCTGTACTGTGTCCGCAGTCTCTGGTCATCTCCTGTACTATGTCCGCAGTCTCTGGTCATCCCCTGTACTGTGTCCGCAGTCTCTGGTCATCTCCTGTACTGTGTCCGCAGTCTCTGGTCATCTCCTGTACTGTGTCCGCAGTCTCTGGTCATCTCCTGTACTGTGTCCGCAGTCTCTGGTCATCTCCTGTACTGTGTCCGCAGTCTCTGGTCATCCCCTGTACTGTGTCCGCAGTCTCTGGTCATCTCCTGTACTGTGTCCGCAGTCTCTGGTCATCCCCTGTACTGTGTCCGCAGACTCTGGTCATCCCTTGTACTGTGTCCGCAGTCTCTGGTCATCTCCTATACTGTGTCCACAGACTCTGGTCATCCCTTGTACTGTGTCCGCAGTCTCTGGTCATCTCCTGTACTGTGGTCCGCAGTCTCTGGTCATCTCCTGTACTGTGTCCGCAGACTCTGGTCATCCCCTGTACTGTGTCCGCAGTCTCTGGTCATCTCCTGTACTGTGTCCGCAGTGTCTGGTCATCTCCTGTACTGTGTCCGCAGACTCTGGTCATCCCCTGTACTGTGTCCGCAGTCTCTGGTCATCTCCTGTACTGTGTCCGCAGTCTCTGGTCATCCCCTGTACTGTGTCCGCAGTCTCTGGTCATCTCCTGTACTGTGTCCGCAGTCTCTGGTCATCTCCTGTACTGTGGCCGCAGTCTCTGGTCATCCCCTGTACTGTGTCCGCAGTCTCAGGTCATCCCCTGTACTATGTCCGCAGTCTCTGATCATCTCCTGTACTGTGTCTGCAGTCTCTGGTCATCTCCTGTACTGTGTCCGCAGTCTCTGGTCATCTCCTGTACTGTGTCCGCAGTCTCTGGTCATCTCCTGTACTATGTCTGCAGTCCATTGGTTCAGAATTTTTTTTTCCTGTTTTTCGCCTCTAAAACCTAGGTGCGTCTTATGGTCAGGTGCGTCTTATGGAGCGAAAAATACGGTATCAATTTGGGCTATAATGGATTGGTGCTCAGGATCGCTTGACGTCATCAGACAGTGCAAGGAGAAACAAAGCCCAAATCTCGCGACCTCCGAGATCTCGCGAGATTTGGGCTTTCCTTCTCCCTGTGCTGGCAGAGTGATTTAACACCTGTTTAGATTTGTCATCCAAGTCACAAAATGAAAAGTATGCCGTTTTCAATAAACTTTTGCATAAAATAGTTCATTTGCATTTAATGTTAATGGTTCATCAGAATGTCGGGCAAAATGGTCGGCCCTCGCACATGTTCACTTCATCAAATCTGGCACTCTTCCAAAAAAGTTTGGACACCCCTGGCATATATGGACTGATAAATTGCAAAATATAAAATGCTTGCTTTGGGGTTTAGATATGCTTTGTAATACTTGTTACCAGTTCTGGGCCAATACCATACCTTAACAGAATCCCATAGAAATGCATGGGTTGCCCACCATAGCAGTGAATGGCCAAGCTTGGTCCATTTTTTCCATAAGCTATAGACAGTGGAGAATTTTTCTTCCCATTCGACACAAACACCTGGGCATTTTTTTGACCTCCAACTCTGGGGCACGTTTCTTTTTTCTTTTATATATTTTATTAAATTTTATATTACAAAATATTACATATAATAATAATAAATTATCATAACATTACTATTCAATACGAGCATAGAAAAGGAATTACAATCCCCAGTCTAAACCTACCCACCTCAACACCACCCCATCCCATCCCCCCCATTATTTTCCCTTAGCTCCCCGTTCCTTGACCTTCCTAGGTAACCCCAGGACTCCCTTCTTCCTCAGTCTATCTTACTGTCTACTTTTGATTTTTAATATATGGGTCCTCTAATCTCCTTTTCCTCTCTTTTATTTCAGCATATTTATTTGATCTTTTAAACTCATCCCATTTTCCCCACATAGCTCAGAAACTCTCCATTTTATTTTCTTCCATGTGGTAAAGGTCCTCCATTCTATACAAATAATCCATTTTTCCTATCCAATCTTTCATTTTTGGTACCTCCTGTTCCCTCCAAAATTTGGGTATCAGTCCTTTTGCTGCATTTATGAAATAAAACACTACCAAGTTTTTATATTTTTTCCACTGAGAGCTCAGTTCTATGAAATATAAACATATCCCTGGGTCTTTCGGAATTCTAACCCCAATAATCTCCTGAATTTGGTGAATTACTTCCCCCCCAATAATCCTTCCCACCAAATATGTGCCATTGTGCCCTTCTTCCCACAACCCCACCAACAAATAGGTGACTTATCCAAATGTGGCACATTGCATATGTGCCACATTTGGTGTAATATACCACCTGGCTAAACATTTATAATTAATTTCCACTATTTTCATATCTACAGTTCCGTGTGCTAATCTAAAAAATTTATTTTTCTGTTCCTCATCCAGTGATATTCCCAGTTCCATTTCCCATTTCTCCATACAAAGGGGCAGTGACTTCTGTCATTCCGGTAAAGATTTTATAGATTTGGGAAGTCCCGTGCTTCCCGTCTCTACGTATTCTTAGCAATTGTTCAAATGGATTCATATCAATTTTTGTCCTTAAAGGTCTAGGGAGCTTTACAACAAAATGGTTTAGCTGAAAATATCACCACTCCTCTAATTTAGTAAACAACTCTTTTTTATTTTTCATCTCCTGATAGGAACAGATCTCTTCTCCATTCATTATGTCCTTTAACTGTGCATCTCCCTTTCTTATCCGATTTTCTGAAATGTTTTCATTCCCCAGTGGAAAAAAAACTGTAGCTACCGTCGGCATGTTTGTGTACTATATCCCAAATTTTTAACCCATCTCGTGAATAAGTGCTTGTGTATTGTGCCAGCCTACGATATTGAGGTGGCAACCGTACCATTCTACTCAAATGTGTCGCGCTCAGTGTGTTTTCTATATTTACCCAACTCTTCACATGTGCATTATGTGTCCAATCAAAAATACGTGATAATATTACTAAATAATATTCTCTTAAACTCTGGTACACCTAAACCTCCATTTTCCTTCCCTCTGCATAACACCTTGTGACTTATTCTCGGTTTTTTATTCGCCCAAATATATCTTATCATTTTTTAAATTATTTTAAAATACATTCCTGGGAGCTGTATAGGCAACATATGGAATTTATACAGAATTTTTGGGACAATTATCATTTTTATTATGTTTATTCATCCTATCCAAGATAGGGATCCTATCACTAGTTTCCTTAATTCCTCTTTGATTGCATTCATCAAAGGGATATAATTTGCTTTCTATAGGTTCCTTAAGGATACGGTTAATTTTATTCCCAGGTATTTTCATTTTCTTTCCTTCCATACAAAGGGAAATTATTTTTGTAAAACTTTCTGCTCAATTTTTGGAACATAAAAAATTTTAAATCTCAGTTTTAGTTGTATTATTTTTTAAGTTTGACAACTCTCTATAATCTTTCATTATTTTCATTAAGTTGTGCAGTGTCAACCGGGGATTTACCACATAAAATAGAATGTCATCAGCATACGCTGCTACCTTATGCTCTATCTCTCCAACCGAGATCCCTGTTATGTCTATGCTATTCCTTATTGTTGCTAAAAGAGATTCTAAAGATAATACAAACAGTAAAGGTGGTAACGGGTATCCCATTATACATTATAAAAAATTCCGATAACACTCCATTAACCTTTACTGCAGCAGAGAGTTGACTATAAAATTTCCTTATCCATTCCCTCATTTTGGGACCTGTCCTTAACACTTAAATCGTGTCTAACATGAACCCCCTGTCCAGCCTATCAAAAGCCTTCTCTGCATCCACTGACAAGAGCAGTATAGGGGCTTTCTCTCTCCTACTTTGTATCAGAAGCAGTGATCTCAGTCCATTATCCCTGCCCTCCCTCCCAGGAACAAAACCCACCTGGTCCATATGGATCCATTCCTGCATCAGGTTCTTCAACCTATTTGCCAAAACATTTGCATATAGTTTAGTGTCTGTGTTTAACAGTGATATAGGTCTGTAACTGGAACATTGGGTTCCATCTTTACCATCTTTCTATATGATGGTGATATGCACTTTCAAAGATTCCTCCCTCATTACCGTCCCTTCTCCCAATGCGTTCATATATAAACAACAAGTTAAGGATTAACTGATCTTTAAATTTTTTATAATATCTTACAGTATACCCATCGGGGCCCGGGCTTTTCCCTGCTCTTGTACCCTTCAATGCAAGCTGGATTTCCTCTTGCGTTATCGATTTCTCTAGGCTAGTTAACTGTTCTTCTCTTAACCTCGGCAATCCCGCCTCTTTTAAATATATCTGTCTTTTTTTCATTCTTTCTTCTTCTATGGGTCATTGAGGGGTAATATTATATAATTTACTGTAGTATTTTGTAAACACATTAGCGATATCCTTGGTTGAATAAACCAGTTCTCCAGTACCATCTCTAATTTTCTCAATATAGTTCCTTGATTTCTTTTTCCTCTGTGTTCTCATTAGGTATTTCCCTGGTCTATACCCTCAACGATACCTTTCACTTGTCATTATGTTAAACACTCTCCTCCTTTCTTCCTCCATTAAATTACATAGTTCCTCTCTTTTGTTTATTATACTCTGTTGAATTTCTTTTGTTAATCTCTTTTTATGACACTGTTCTAGATCATGTAAGTCCCTAAGAAGTGTATCAATTTTCTCTTTTCGTTCCTTTTTTTTCTTTGCCCCAATTGCTATCAAGACTCTCCTGATATAGGCCTTATGGGCTTCCCACACTGTTGCCACTGAAACTCCTTTAGCCTCATTTCTTTCAAAATATTGTTCTATTTCTTTTTTTTATTCTGTGTTCCATCTCATGATCCTGAAGGACTGTCTCGTTTAATTTCCATATGTTTGGCTTATTTTGCTCTCTTCCCCGTAATAACTTCATTGTGACAGGTGCATGGTCCAAAATTGGTATAACTTCTATATTTACTTTAACCATGGACTCCAAAAGTCTATGGTCCAACATTATATAATCTAACCTCGAGTACATCTCATGTGCATGAAAGTAGAATGTGTAATCTCTATCCTTTGGATGTTTACTTCTCCAAACATCATCAATTGACTTTGATACAGCATTCTTAGTATAGATTTCAGAGATTTATTCCCCTCTCTCTGCACAAGTGACATTGTGTCGATCTTCGGATCCATGCATGTAAAATCTCCAGCCACAATTAATTTACCTTTTTTAACTGCTTGCTGACCAGCCACTGTATTAAAACGGCCACAGGGCGGCACCCTTGTGCAAAATCACGTTTTAAAAACGTCATTTTGCAAAACAGGTAGGGGTCGCACATGAGGCGTGCCCGCCCTACCTGCCCCGCTGATCGCCGCCGCGGGGGTCAATCACCGGTCCCGGCCGGTCATTACCCGCCGGGTCCTGGAGATTGCCGGCAAACAGTGACACAGAGCACAGCTGCATTGTTTTCAATGCAGCTCTCTTCCCTGTCAGTTCCTAACACACTGATCCTGAGAGCGGAGTTTAGCTCTCAGGATCAGTGTGTTCCTGTGAAGCACACACTCCCGCCCACTAGTAAAACACTCCCCTCACACAGTTAACCCTCTGATTGAATAGAAATGTTAACCCCTTCCTCCCCAGTGCCATTAGTACAGTGTCAGTGTTTTTTTTTTTTATTCACTGATCACTGTATTGGTGTCACTGGGGATGTCATTGACCCCAAGTCAGTTCCCCCTCAGTGTCAAAATGTCCACCGCAGTCCCGCCATAAGTCACTGATCACTGTCATAAATCGCTGATCACCGCCATAAGTCGCTGATCGCCGCCATTATTATTATAAATAGAAAGAAATCCCAGTATCTTTCCCGCCATTTGTAGACACTAT